CCCCCACCCCCCACACACACCTCCAAGCCGCGCGTTGATGGTCATCACTGACTGACTGGTTTTCCGCCAGCGCCACAACGCGCATCCTCCCCTCCCCTCCCCTCCCGAGGAAGAGGCTCCGCGCTGCCGCCTCGCCTTACCTGCCCACGTTGCACAAGAAAAATCCACCGCGAGCAAAATTTCCCGGCGGGAACCTTTATAAAGCGCAGGGAACTCGGCAAGCCCCGCCCCCCTCCCCGACGCCCTTCTCCCAGTCGTCGAGCCGACCCAAGGCCCCGCCCCTCCAAAGCGGCTATTGGCCGCAGGGCGAAGGCGCGACCGGCGCGACCCGCCACTGGCTGATTCGGAGCGCGGGGGAAGCCGGGCGTGCGAGGCCGGAGACGCCATCTTGGGCGAGGGCCAAAATCTTTTCTCCCCCCGCCCTGTCGATCAGCCGACTCCAAGCCACGCCCCCGCCCCTTGCCGTAAGCGTCGCGCCGAGTTCACTGCCGGTCATTGACCTTCCCTCGCCCAGCGGGTGAATGGAGGCGTCGTGCAAGGGCAGGGGAGCAAAAGGCCACGTGGCTGGGATCGGGTGGTGCAAAGGCTCGCGGCTCCTTTCCACACTGACCCCCCCCCCCAGTCCATTTTAGTGGTTGACCTGTCTGACCAGGGATACAATGCAGGTTGCAGCCATAACAACAATGTATTCTTTTTTCCCCCAAGGTCTGTTTTATTTATTTTGTACAAACATAATCCATATATACCTAAGGGACCACCTTTCTCCATATGTTCCCCCAAGAGCGCTACCGGAGTCGCAGCACCTATTGGTGGTTCCGGCCCCAAGGACATCAAGCTGACTGCAAACAGGGCCAGGGCTTTTTCAGACCTGTCTGGTGGAATGAGCTCCCAGAGCAGGTTCGGGCCCTGCGGGACCTGGCGCAGTTCCACAGGGCTTGCAAGACGGAGCTCTTCCGCCAGGCCTTGCATAGGAGCCGCCGTCGTCACTTTACCACCACCACCACCGAGTTGCCATCTTCGAGGGTGGATTAGATTCAGAGGTGAGCTGGCCCTGGGCAGACGCCTAGTCAACCGAAGAATGTATGTTGTCAGGTTAGGTTGATGAAAGGAACTCATCTTGGATTAAGAAAAATTTAACATCAAGAGCACCGCACTTTACTTAATGATTGTTTTATACTGTTTAATTATTGTTTTTATGTTTTAACTGTTATGGCAATTGCCTCTGTCGTAGCCGCACTGAGCCCGCTGGGGAGGGCGGGGTATAAATCTAATAAATAAATAAATAAATATCAAACATTAGTGAGGGTCTTATCGTCAAGATAGTAGGTTACAGGATACTTTTAAAATAGCAAAATATAGACTTCAATAGACACAATCTCATATTAACTCCTAACTTCTAAAATAACGATCCTAAGAATACGAGCCATAACTAACAGTACAAACTTAGTAAGTGAATAGGCATAAAATACCACGGTCTTGTTGAGATGTCAAAAGCTTAAACCTGATTTCAGTGTTATTCCCTAGGTCTAATGTAGAGTTACCCAATTTGTCCATTATAGGAAACCAAATATCTAAACGATTCGCTACCTCTCCAGTGTCACTTTCTTTGCTGGTAACCGTGTATTTTCTCAAGCAAGAAAAAATCCCATAACTTGTGCAACCACATTTGAATTGAGGGAGGGTTTTGCGATTTCCATGTCTTTACAATGACTACTTTGGCCGCCACAATCATTATACTAATCAGCTGCTTTCTCTGTATAGGTGGACTGTCTTCTGGCCAGAGGTGGAGGAGATAGAACAAAAGCTCCGGGAATGTATTCATATAACACAATATACTGTACAAACTAAGCTTTTCACCCTTTTCCCAACTTTGTGGTGCCCCCCCTTTGGCCCTTGTGCCCTAAGCACCTGCTTCATCTGCTTCGTGGTTAATCTGCCCCTGGGTGGAGGTATGAGTCGGAGAAGGGGCAATCGGTGGGCTTTGGTCAAGCCCGGCAAGCTTAGCTTATGTAACTGACGGCCACGATATCGGGCTCAAGTCGTTTGCAAAAGCGTCTAACCGTGGGTTCCTCCCCCCCCCCATGGTGGGGCCACGTGAGGTCCTGCGTCTGTCCCCCCGCACTGAGCCACTCAATAACTGCCACGTGGCAATGTTGTCACTGAGCACCGGAGTCCAGAAGGTCCGCGCTTGGCATACCCCCATTGTGCAGGAGCCCGACATCAGTTCGGAGAATCCCGGGATCTATTCCTACCTGTTTTCCTTTTGCCCGCGATTGTTCATAATGCTCCAGTTCCGTAACATCGTTGCGGTGGAATAAAAATTTCTGCTGCAATCTCAGCTGGGCTGTAACGGGGGGGGGGGGAGAAGGGTGGACTATATTTAGCCAATAGTGGTAGGTAGGTAGTTTATACGCCACTTAATGTATGTTTCACGTGTTAATGTGTCGTTTATTCTGTTTAAAAGATTCTGCTTTATTTCAGCTCCGTGATTTCCATTTTCCGATTCCCGTAGTCCAAGCCCTATTGTGCTGTTCATTGGATGCCCACTCTGTTGATTGTACTTGATTTACACTATGTAATCCTCCTTGAGTCTCAGCAAGAGTAACAATATTGTACACCCGAGATCCAAAGCCACATCTTGTGGCAGGGAGTTCTGTAAACTAAGGATGCCTTGTCCAAACCAAATCACTCTGTAAAGTTGCTGCTAGTGAACATCAGAAGAGCCCTGCTGGATCACAACATCTAGTCCAGCATCCTGTCTCTCACACAGAGGCCAGCTAGTTCCTCTGGAGGTCCAGAAACAGGGAATAGATTCAAAGGCTGTCTCTGAACACGGGGGTTCCCTTACTCACCATGGCTAGGAGCCACAAATAGACCTATTCTCCACAAATAAAGCTGTCTGTGCCTGTGGGCACCGCACCACTACATCCTCTTGCCACAAAATCCACATTTTAATCACTCGCTGTGTGTAAAGAAGTACTTCCTTTTGTCCATCCTGAATCTAGTTCCCATTGCCTTCATTGGATACCTTTGAGTTCCAGTATTTTTGAGAGAGGGAGGGGAAAAATTTGTAAACTCTCTAAACCCCATCCCTCATTTTATAAATTTCTATCATGTCCCCCCCTCCCTTGGTTGTCTCTTTTCTGAACTGAAAAGTCCCAGACAATTCAGCCTTTCCTCATAGTGATAAGTAAATGGAAGCTCCTTGTTCACATGCAGTTTACCTTGAAAGACTAAATGCCTAAAACAAACAGGAGGGGCGTTCTCTTAAGGTCTTCTTTGGGGGCTAGTCTGGGGAAAGTAGCCAGTGCTCAGGGATGCAGGATTAGATGGATTTCTGTTATGATCCAGCAGGTACTCAGGCTACAGCTTTGGGAATCCTTCTTTTGCTCTGCGATCTCCCCTTCTTGAGTGGCGTGTATTGCTGTAGTGCCTGGGCGCTCACAATGTTTAGCTCTTTACATAGGCTTCCTAAGGGGTCCAGTATTGTTGCTGAACAGTTCAGATTACCTTGTCTGCTAATTCTCCAGCTCAGAACATTGTATTATTTTCCCTCCCAACTTTTATTCCTGGTTTCTCACAATTCCTGCCAGGTTTGTCAAGGTACCTCTCCCCTTGGTGATTCAAACGAGACACCAAATCCAGACCAGCAGAAGAGGCAGGGGGTTTTCTTCCTTGGGCTGTAGCGGTTTTTGTGTGGATACAGACCAAAGCAGAAAGGGACACTGGCACAATTAACAACTCAAGGGGTAGCAACTCTTCCTGGCCATCCCGGTAGGGCTCTCCTTGTGTTTTTATTACTTTACAATGAGACAAAAGCACTGGGGGGAAACTGTTTTTGGAAAAACTCCACCTGTGAATTTCTACCTGTGATTAACTTTACCTGTGAATTTCTACCTGCCTATTTATTGTGTCATAGGAAATTTTGTTCTGTCATATATATATAATTTATTAAATGTCATATCTATATAATTTATTAAATCATTGATTTTTGGTGTTAAAATTTGGGCACATGCATTTTTTTCAACTAAAGGCCTGGCTGAAGAGCTCCGTCTTGCAGGCCCTGCGGAACTGTAAAAGGGAGCTCATTTGAGATCGGGGTGTTGGCGGGTGCATCATGCCCACAGGCACCATGTTGAGGACCCCTGCCCTACTGGGTCACCATAAGTCTGCTGTGATTTGACTGCATTTTACACACACACATTCTCTGCCAGCTGTTACAGTTCAAGGCCTTTTTTGAATTTATTACTACTAACTGTTTTTGGAAAAAACTCCACCTGTGAATTTCTACCTCTGATTAACTTTACCTGTAAATTTCTACCTGCCTATTTATTGTGTCATAGGAAAATTTGTTCTCAGTACTATATATGTCATCTATATTTCTAATAGCCAAGTTGCCCCCTCCGTGCGGATATCTAAATCCGCACATCGGGGGCACTTGGGTGGCAGAGAGATTTTCCTGCACACTTGGAGCACTCCCCAGGTGTGCAGAAAAATCTAAAAAGTTGAAAAAAATATACGTGGGATATTTAAATCCACCCAAAAGTAAAAGCATTCCCTGCACATGCGCAGAGAATGCTCTGACCATTGGAGGGGAGGCTCAGTGGGCCCACGCGACTCACCACCGGTGCAGGGGATGGGGAAGAGTGGCAGGCCCGGCGGCTGGGAGCTGCGCAGGCCTCACAGTCAGTGCTGGGGGGGGCGAAGGATTGGCAGGCCCAGGCCTCACCATCAGTGTGGGGGGGGAGGCTTACCTGTGGCTGCTTCCTCCTCCTCTTCCACGTAGAACTCCTCTCCCCCCTCCTGCGAGTATCGCGGGTCCCCGCTTCTTATATCTATATAATTTATTAAATCATTGATTTTTGGTGTTCAAATTTGGGCACATGCATTTTTTCTTGTTTACACATATTGCTGTGCCACTGCCTTTCCTCTTGTATGCATTTTGTTTTTAATTGTTTGTATATTATAGTTGATGGAACCTGCCCTGAGGCTGCTATGCAAGGAGGGCGGGATACAAATACAATAAAAAAAAATAACTTCCTGGCATGCCCTGCCCTGGAGAGCCCAGGCAAGCCCAATCGCATCAGATCTCAGAAGCGAAGCAGGGTCAACTCTGGCAAGGACTTGGATGGGAGACCTCCTTGGAATACCAGCAGTTGGGAGATGGGGGCAGGCTTTATCCAGCCACC